CACACACACACACACACACACACACACACACACACACACACACACACACACACACACACACACACACACACACACACACACACACACACACACACACACACACACACACACACACACACATATATATATATATATATATATATATATATATATATACATATAAGTATGCTTATTCATCTGCATATATTTAAATAGGTTTATTCATATGCATATATTCAAATAGGCTTATCCATCTGCATGTATATAAATATACTTACCTATCTGCATAAACGTTTTCAACCCTCCTGCCAGGTTCAAACTCTTCTGTCACTATTCCATGAAGCTGTCTCGCGAATTTCCTCTGAAGGATTCGTGTGCCGCATGGGATCAGTTGTTCGCGGCCATTGGTCTGAGATCGGCTGAAGTGCCCGCGTCTAAAACAGGTGAATAAATTACACACGACATCCTTGATTGAGCTTGTGTTAAATTTTTTAAATGCGCTTATACATGCGCATGCACATGCACAACCCATACGCATACACACATATACATACGCGCACGCATACATAACACATACATACGCTCACACAAACGAACATCTGCACTCACACCTGCCCAGCCGTGACTGAAGATGGAGATGACTCCAACGATCTTCTGGCAGACGATAATTTCGAACGCCAATCCAAACTGGAGGAGAGCATGGACGTGTTCATACAGCTGTGGGAGGAGTACCTACACCGCGAGTACCTCAGATTGGGTATGTTTAGGCGGGATAGTGTTAAGCATTGATGTCTATTAGGATTACACGTGGTCGCACGGTGTCTGTACGAAGAGTACATGGTGTGGTATGATGTCTGTTATGAATATACTGGAAGAATACATGGTATCGTATGATGTCTTATAAGAATACACGTTATCGTATGATGTGTTATAAGAATACACGGGAGTTACAAATTTAGTAAGCGTATAGGGTATTGATGGTGCAATGATACACCAAAACTTGTGTTCATCTCGATCCAAATTTAGTTAAGCGTTTACGTATAGGTATTTGCATACTTATTCATTTTCATCTATCAGTCGTGGGCTGAGTGCTTACTCTGCGAAAGTCCGGGTCCCTATTCATTCATGTAATCGTATGTATTCTTCTTGTTTGTGTGGATGAATGTTTTGCTTCTGAGACTATGGAGTATAGTACTGCAGTGTTAGATGTCCACGAGCTCATGGGGTTGCCACACACAATCATAGATATCGTGTACGTTATCTACGGTTATGTTTATATGTAGTATAGTACTACAGTAAATGATTCTCACAAGTTCATGCTGTTGCGATGGTCTTTTCCTGGACACGCCCAATAGTAGTTATCGTAAACGATGCATGTATATATGTGCTTGTGACTATATGTAGTATAATACTACAGTGTTGTATTCCCACAAGTTCATGATGTTGCGATGGCTCACTCCTGGGCACACGGATATAGTCGACAATGCATGTATGTATGTGCTTATAAAGACACGTATTTTACCACAGTGTCAGTTGCCCGCAAGCTCAAATGATGTTGCAGTGGCTCCCTCTTGGGCACACACAGTATTAGATATGGTAGACGATGAATGTTTATAGGTGCCTATAAAGACATATAGTATTCTACTAGTGTCAGATGCGCACAAGCTCATATGGTGTGGTGTTGCAATGGCTTCCTCCTGGGCACACACAGTAGTAGAAATCGTAGGCGACTGTATCGAGGATGCGTCGAACAATCTGCATTCAAATCCAAACGAAAGTGACAAGGACCTACATGGTTAGTCGATACCACATTCCACATCTCGAGATCGCTTATCTAGCATTCACTATGTCCAATCAGCTACTGAGCTATGTAGTAATTGGTGTCGGGGCTGTATACTATTTAAAATATAAGCACATATACATACAAGTAGATGGCCATGTAACGATTTGAGATGGAGCGCTGGCTAAATACTATAGATGCTCACTCCCGGCACGAAGATCTTGTTTGTATT